CTCCGAATTTTCAAGATTTTCTGAATTTTTACAGAATAATTGGACAGAAAAATCCAGTATTTCACTGATTTGTAGATCATTTGAACAGAAAATCAACGGAATATTTGATTTTTCAAGGACAAGATTTCCTGAAATTTCAGTGGCACTTGAAACGAAAAAAATTTCCGGCATTTGACTCGGGAAATTCAGACGGAAATTTTTAACAGTGTATTGATGAAAAATACTGAGATTTGGGGGATGAAGTTGGTTTTGGGGATAAAAAAAATAGGAGGGAAGAGGGGGTTCCGAGGGGCCCGGCAAGTTTCTCCATTTCGCTGGAGAGTCAATAGACGAGAACCATTGGATTTATTCAATCTTAATCGATTGTTTAATGGACAACAGCTGAAGTTTTCTATAGAATAAACAGTGTATTAACGGTAAATACAAAAATTCTGGGGATACAGTTGATATTGGCGATAAAAAAAACAGCAGGGGCGAAGGGGTTTTGATGATCCCCTGGAGAATCAATAGATGAGAATCATTGGATTCTTTCAATTTTAATCCTTTGTCCAAGTTTTCTATAAAATAAACATTGTTTTAATGGTAAATACCGAAATTCCAGAGATGAAATTGATATTGGGGATGGAAAAAAACGGAGGGAGGAGGAATCGATGATCCCCTGGAGAATCAATACACGAGAACCATTAGATTATTTCAATCTTAATCGGCTCTCCAATATTCAACGGTTGAAGCTCCCCATAAAATGGACATTGCATCGACAGTAAATACCGAAATTCCGCGAATGAAGTTGGTTTTTGGGGATGAAGAATACAGGAGGGAGAAGGGGGATGATCCCCCGAAGTTTCTCCATTGCACTGGAGAGTCAATAGACGAGAACCATTTCCTCTATTAAATCTCTCCCGATTGTCTAATGTTCAACAGCTAAAGTTTCCCATAAAATAAACGTATTGTCGGTAAATACCTAAATTCCGGGAAATAAGTTGTGTCTGAGGATCAAAAAAATAGGGAGGAGGGGGGTCGTACGGTCCCCCGGAAGTTTCTCCAGTCCACTGGAGAGTCAATAGACGCGAACCGTTGGATTCATTCAATTTTAATCGATTGTCCAATGTTCAATAGCTGAAGTTTCCCATTAAAGGAATATTGCATTGACGGTAAATACTGAAATGTCGGGGATGAAGTTGGTATTGGGGATGAAGTTATGAAATATCCAGACAGAAGTGGGAAACTTGTGTCCAATGAATGGTACATCCAGAGACAACAGTTTGTTTGAATTAAGTTGACTTTATTAGAATTAAATAAATGGGACTATTCAAATAGCTCGTAATAGAAAATTTAAAAAATTTAAATTTGATTATCATTTATGTTTGTATTCATATGAAATGAATAATAAATCAAATGAAATTTCATCATTGAAATGAATAGGACCTTTTAAACAGAGTTATATATTATTTGAATGCGTCATTTCTCTGACGGAAGAATTTAGTTATTGTAAATGCTGCAAATTTCAACGAAGATATTCGTTGATTAATCCTCGACAAAGGTGGATTTATAATACACAGTCCGGTTGATACACTCAGAGGAGTGACATATTTGAATTGAATGAAAATCTTTATTTGGTATTTTTCTACTCATTTCAACATCATTTCTGATGGGAGTGAATAAACTCATTCCCATCATTTCTTCGTATATTTATTTCCGTGAAAATGTTCACATCATATGGCATGAATAATTTACTCAGTCCGAATAAATCGTCTGCTAAAATCGAATAAAAGATTTATTTGACCCAAATTCAGGATTATGCACGTTAATAATTTCTCTCTCCTCTCCGTTCAAAATGGTTCCGTTTCTAACTCATAGACTTTAAGTAGATTAAGGAAACTTCCACTCATATTCACAAAAATATTCATTTGATGTGAATAAAAAAACAAATGAATACAATATTTAAGTTTGAATGACAGCTGCATGGGAGTAATTTAAATAAATCCTTTCATCAATTTCACTTGATTCAGATAAAGTTTATTCAATTCAAATCATAGGAGCCGTTCAAATAATACGTCACTTGATTTGTGGGGGAGGGAGCTTTGCAGTTTGTGACATTTTGTGATGACGGGAGGAGGGGGTTGATGAGGTTGTAATGTAGACTCTATTTGTTTTCTCATTTTTAATTGAGGACATCGTAAATGCAATCTTTTCCACTTCTTCGTTACATAAAAAAACAGATGTTTTACCAGTTCTCTAAACTATCCGGATAGTCCGTGAATCTTTGGGCCGAAAAAATCACGAAGAGGAATTTTGGAATGCCGTGATGATAACGATTAAATACATTACGAAATGTTCGAAGACCATGGTATGAAACTTTAATTGTTCACCTAATCCTTTGCATTTTTTTATTATTCTCATTTTGCAACTACGATTTTTGGAAAAAACTATAAACTTCCCCATAATCAGGGGGGGGGGCAGGGGGGAGAGAGGAGGGTGTCTAGAAGGTCCAGAGAACGTGTGACGTACACGGAAAAAAATTTTTTAGAAAAATTTTAGTGCTAGCACGGTAAAAGAGGCGCAAAGTGACGGCCAGGAAAAAATTCCAGTGCTGGCACTGGAAATTTTATTTAGGAAAACGTGAATTTTTCCCCGTATTTCTGTGAAAATTTCCCAGAAATCCCCAGAAATCCTGAGAAATTTTATCTTAACAGCACTAGAATTTTTCACAACCGGTGGATTGTGATTTTTTTCAGTACTCACACTAGAATTTCTCTAGAAAAAATGTCTCTCCCTGTAATATTTGAATGGCCCCGTAGTAGATTTTGTCACAACACGGAGACAAAAGTTGGATAAACATTATCTAGAAAATCGTGGCAAATTTTACTGTATGAGAGGTAATCGTGGAGAAAAATTGTAATTGAATAAAAAATACATTTAGTCCGCATTCGGTAAAGAAAATCATTCTCCCTCACAGAAAAGTTCCTACACATGGATGATTACACAATATCCAGCATAATTTTTGCTGGAATAAACAGTAAATTTTCCAATTTCTACGCAAATTATCCACATATTTAGTTTTTCACTATTCGTCTCGTACTTTTTACTGCAATATCGGATGAAAAACATCGGATTCTGCTCCGCGATTACTTGACTTATTTCGTAATTTTTCTCCAACTTTTTTCTCCATGTATCCTGATAGATAATACACTTAAATCAAGTATATTTTATACTCAATTCATGTATATTTATTTTCCATGTAGCTTCGTCGACAATAAACAAATCTTCCAATAAATGTGCATCAGTGACTCGATTCTCTGATAACCCCCCGATTAATTCAATATCCCCTATTAAACTCCTGAACAATCCGAACGAACTCGTTCTCTTGACTCAAGTGCCACATGGAGTTGGGCCATGCAACGTAACACACTGCAATCGTCAATAAAATTCAATCATAATTAAGTGTACAATATTAATGTAATATATCAGATTCATTGCGAAGACTGCGGAACGTAACAAGGTTCCCTTTTAACAGTTCAGCCAACCATACAGCCGTGACGAGCTAAAAATTGTTAGTTTAAAAAACGCCAGTGAGATATTTATTTTGTCAAAAAAGTTGAAATCTCCTTCTGCCAACACAGATTATTTCTGTTTGTCTCTCTGTACGGCCAGCAAGTTTTTCCGAATCTTTTGTTATCAACTATTTGTTCGATGAGGTGAAATTCAAGAGCTATCTGATATTTATCTCAGTCCTTTCTTCTATTTCGCGGGTGGAGGGAGAGGGGGCGAAAAACTTGCTCGCATACAGAGACACAAAAGGATGATGGCAAAGGGGATGAAAGGAATTTGGGAAAGAGAAAGGGATTTGAATCTATTGAGGTCTTTATCGCTCGATAGATGTCGCTCGTTGTGGACAGAAATGCCGAGGGGTGAGGGTTTTAACAAACGGATGGAATATCACTTTGGACAGTATTCAGGAGTGAAAGAGAGGTGTGATCATGACGCTGATTGATACCGAAATTCTCGCTGAAAAAAATGCCAGTGAAAATGCGGGAGTAAATGATTTATGGAAGAAATCGATGAAGTGAGTGGCTGGATTCGAAGTGAGAATAAAGTCTCCAGGAAATTGACACGATATATCGACAGGATTTTTGGACAGTATCGCCTGACACTCGGAGTGAGTACGAGGGGGAGCAGTGGTGGCTGTAAGGAAACGTATCAGTTATGAAGGATCGACCAAAGTGGTCGAGGAAATAGGGGTAGTTACGAGCTGGTGAAGGGTGGGCTTTCAAAGAGGCGCAATGGGCTGTCTCTCTTTTTTTTTCCCCTGACGAATGATGTCGATCGACAGTGCCGGTGAGTTTTCAAGCTGATATCGTACGTTCTGGTGGAATCAAACGGAAGGGAGAGATAAAAAAAAGTGACGGCGGGGAGCGATGGAGGAGGGGGAAAAATACGAAGAGGATTGGGGGTGAATGGTGGTGCATACCGTTGGGAGGAAAGAGGTCGCGATAAATTTCGGGGGATTCCGTTGCCTCCTGGTCGCACAGAGGAAACCGGGGGAATGCAGTCCAAGAAAGCTAAAGCTCAAAATGACTTTTTCGTTTTTATTCAATTTTTTTCATTCTTGTTCCGCTGGCGGGGGATTTTTGTGAACACGTTTTCCTCAGCATTTCTGGAACAAAGAGTATTTGAGAGATACGACTCGGAGGAGCATCAACGTCAGGCATGATCATACCTTTCTTGGGGATTTTTAAAGAAAAAATGAGGGATTGAGACGCGTGGGAGATGGAGATGGAGGAGCGTCAGTTGGAGAGGGAATGCGGGGGGAGTTTGGAGTGCCTACAAATAACCTGGAAACAGGGGGATGTCTTGGTGACGCTGGTGGAGTTGAAAAATGAAATAAAACAGCGGAGGAATGTGTGGAGAGAAAGGATATGGGATGAGATTGTGTGAGAGCGAGCGATTGAGCCCAAGTTTTCTATGTTTTTTTCTTTTAAACGGGAAAGGGTAAACTGTACCATCATCACTTCGGACACGGAGCTGATGCTGAGGACATACATGGTGACGCCAACCTCCACGGGTGGACCTGCAATCAACAAAAATACCAAAGCGCCTTGCTGCCGTTCTCATCTTTATCAAATTTGTCAAGCTTCTCTTTTTCTTCGGTTTCAAACTTTCAATGTATTCATTTTTTTGGCACTTTTCTGTGTCTCTTTGATTTGAGGATTTTTTATTGGGCTTTAGCATCATCATCAACAGTAATCGAAGCCGCTCCCCCGATCATCCTGGTCCACGTACGTTACACTCTATTTTTCTAAATTCCTAATTCCTAAACTACATTTATCGACCTAAGGTCTTTTGGGTGGCTCGTTGTTATCTAGAATGTTTATTTATCATTAATTCGTCAGGTTGGATGAGTTTAAGGGGCTTGAACGAGTTGTCAATGCGCCCCCTGAAATAACAATCACTCGTACCCTGCACGGAACCAAATCAACGAGACTCGTTGCTCTTATTCCAGGCTAAAAACAGGTTAATCCACAAGAAACAAAAAGAATTACATCTTTCATTGACTTCTTGTCTCATTGTGTCTCATTACCTTATTAGCCACATTGATTATTCTTCTCGGGTAGTTCAACGTGGGAGATTGGAGAATTACCAATTGTAAATTGAGGGTTGAAAGATTGTCGCGAACACGGGAAAAAAGAGTACCCTTCCTCTTCTACTGGATTCGTCTCATGACTCTAGGCATTGGTTACCGGTCAAAATAACACACGCAAAGTTCAACACACAGATTTAACACATGCATTTTCCACATGGTACGATTTAGCGGGAAAAGATAATGAAATTGTAGGTTTCACTGAAAATTCAATAAAATTCCAGAATTTTAGCATAAAGATGAGAATTTCTTAATCCTTTTGAATTTCCAATCTAATATGAATATTCAGTGCCAAATTAGATTGAATTTTTAGTGAAATCTGAAATTTCATGATTTTTTTCCAACCTAAATCGCATTCAGTGTCACTGTCCTGAAAATTCAAGAATATATTTACCGGAATTTTCTGGTTTTCTCTTCATTTTTAGGGAAAAATGAAACTGAAATTGACAGTTTTCTTTGATTTTTTCATGAATTTCCGAATTTCCAATGACGAAATTTCTTGAAATTTCAGTGGTAATTGCATTCGATAAAAACAATATCAGCAGTGTAATTGCAATTCAATACAATTTATTTGGGAGTAAATTTAAACGAAACTGTGAAGTGTTATTATTATTATTTTATTGTGATTAGTTCAATTGTAATTTGATATCAATTTATTGAATATGCCGATTTATATGTTCTCAATTCATTGATGAAATTCACTGTATTGTTGTTTTTTTTGAATTTTCATTAAATGAATTCTCATGCCAAAAGTAAATATTGATTATTTTCGAAGACTGCGTTGATAATTGTGTTGAATTTGTTTGTGCCAACATTTACGTATGTCATTTTGACATGTAATCCTAGAATTCTGTCACAGGCTTCTCTCATTTCTTTTCCCATCTCTTGTTTAGTCCCTCCCCCCCCTTTTCCTTCTTTTCGCAAACTCCTCTCACATTTGTTCACATGAATGCGTGTTATATACAATTCGCGTGTATGTCGTGTATGTGTGTTTATGTCGTGGGTCGTATGGAAAAAAAAAATATATAGAATGGGGGTGGGTGGGGTTAACCGGAAGGGGCCAGTGAAGATTATCAGTGCTGGCAGCGGGCAGCCCATCTCAGCAGCCGCGGCATAGCAGCTAGCATCTAATGGGATGGCATGTAACCTATGTATATATGGGTTGGTATATGCCGCGAGCGTAACTCGACTTCAGCAAAACTGGAACGTTGTAGCTGGGGAAACACTGGGCACAGGAGGAGGACGGCCAGGAGCAGGGGGAGGGGGGAAAAATATTAAGCGAGAACGATAGAGGGCGTGTGTACAACCGACCACGCAAAATTACGAGCGCAAACTAATCACGAAAGTTTGCGGCAAGTTTGAGCAATTTTGTCGGGTAGAATGGAGGCTGAGGAGACAGCAAAAAAGAAAAAAAAGCGAGAAAAAAACAGGGAGGGGATAATAAAAGACGTGTTGCGGCTGAAAGGAACAAGTTTCGCTCGTGGCATATACGGCATAATATTCATAAATGTGTGGAATTAATCTCATCAAACGCGGGATCACTAGGAGACGCTAGTCGTCTCGTTTCTGAACATTTCTTCCACTCTCGTGGATCAGTGTGGCAATTTTTTTTTGAGGTAGCGAGGGTAGGTGCTGCTTCTGGTTACTGGCAGACGCGATCAGGGATATGACAAGTATGTACATCGAACTTCGCTGAGATTCTTAATTTTAATACGTGAATATATAATATTGTAAAAAATCTTTAAACTTGAATTGTTAATATTGAAATTGTAAATATAAAAAATGCATGCCGGTGTCTAAACGACATACACGTTATATTCTAAAATGTACTAAGGGACGCACCACATTAACTTATATTTAAAGTGTAAATAGAGAATATTCAATAATAATTCAACGCCCTGTGATTGATTTTGTAAAAGAAGGTGCGAATATTTATTCTTAGGGCATGATTTTTTTTAAGTAAATAAAATAATACAGTTAAAATTCATCTACTGATAAATAATAAATTCATCTCAGTGCCAGTGTGTGTCATCTAAACAGTCTTGAATCCCGGGGAAGGGGGGGGGGGCAGGGGAGAAGAGTAAGAAGAAAAACGTGATAAAAACGAAAAAAGAAAACTCGAGTTGAATTTTACGGTAATGAATCGATTGAAATATATATATTTAAACGGGCAAATTAAATTACCTCGGAGACTTTGTGTGGCTCTAAAGGTCATGACGAAAACTGTGGAGATCGAATAGTCGTGTGTAAGGGGTTGAAGGTGGCACGGCGGGATATTGAATTAAGATCGACGGCGATGTCGAGTCGAGGGAATCACGGGAGCGATGGGACTAATTTTGCGGACGGACACTCGGCTTTTGCCTTTAAACCCGACGGAAGAGACGGATGAAATTCCGTGTGTATACATTGAATTTCCCCCCTCGCCACCACTGTCTCACGGCCAATTCTCTCCCTCTCCCGCTGCACTTTGAGTCCTCTCGATTAAACTGTTTCACCCACTTGCTCTTCCACTCGACGTGACCACCAACAGCCCCCACCTTCCCCCTCCCCTCCTTTATCGCTGCTGCCCACATCCGGCGTTGCAATCGTCCCAACGGTGACGAATGTTCCCCTCTCGAGCGTTCGACGTGGCGCGTCCCGGTGTAATTAACTCCCCGACCTCTCCCGTAAAATCGCTCCCGTGACTCTGGGTATAGATCGTCGACACGCGTCGATATTTTGTAGAATTATAGACATACACGTCCAGTGTAATATTTTTTTGGCCACTTTTATCGACATGTTTTTTTTTCAGTTGTAAATCACGAGATGTTTTTTGTGAGGAACATAAAGTACTGAATAATAAAATATTTTTGTCTTATTTATTGCGCTCGCAGCGAAGGGGTTTTTGAGGATTTTTTCGGTGGTAAAATTGATGACTTTTAGAGCCACAACAAAGTCCATGAGAATAAAAAATACTGAATGTCATTTGCATGGATTTCCATAACGTGAAAAAGATATATCTAAGAATGAATTTACTTGAAAAAAAAGGGCGGGGGGTGGTATCTGGGTGGTATCATTTGGATGTGAAAAGATATAATAAAGATTGAGGGCGAAAGGGGGGGTTGGGGGTGATTCATGTAGCGGGAAAATTATTCTGGTGACTTTTAACGAATCGGATGACATTAATTGAGAATTATAATAACTGATTCAGCTTTGTTTGAATGAAACTTGTTAAGACCTAAATTAGTACCATTTTGACTTCTGATAGCGAGCTGATACTCAAGACGTACATGGTGACGCCCACCTCGACAGGAGGACCTGAAATGAAGGTTAGTATAGCTGAGTCGGCCCAAGTAGGCCGAAGAGACCAAAGCAGAGAATGGGCTACGAATAAAATTGTCAAATAACTTATTTTCATTATCTTTTTTTTCCAACAAAATTGATACCCGCAATTATCAAAGTACTCTGATAAAAATTTCATTACATAAGATGCGAATGACTGATATCGTTATAAACGTTGAAGAGAATGGATCGCTGAAAGTGTTGGCGGACATTTCACTGTAAATACGTCGAATTCGTAAACTAATATTAATCTGACGTGAATCAGGTAGACCTGGTCTATATAATTTCCTTTCTCATGTTATTGAACGTGTAGTTATCTATGTGCACAGCTAGCCATCAGCCATTACCATGAAAACAATTCCCGATATACGAGGTATAAATACTTGGAATAACACGAGCCTATGTTCATCAGAATTTAATTAATTCCAGTGGTATTCATTGTCCAATGTTTTGTCATGTTAAATATTAGACAGCTGGCTGTGGGGAGTGACTAAAACACTGCCGAGACTTTGAACACAATTTCCACCCACCTCTCGTCACCCCGTGTATTAATTTAAACCAACTGAAAATTTCATTGGAAATTATTGACAGCTAATTACATTCGAAAAGTTAACCCCTCCCCGCCTCCCCTGCCTATTCTCATCCACCTCCCCCTCTTGATAGATGTCGAGTTATTCTCGTTGCTGGCGCAACTTTTCTGACATTACACATCATTACGAAAACGTGATAAACTTAGTTTATCCACAACCCATACTCTCGGGCGCGCAAAGTTTGTGTCATAAACAACATTTCCCTTAACACCTTACTGCCTCTCTCACTATGCGATACATCTCCGTTTTAACCCTCATCCTCTTCAGCCCAGCCCAACTGAACCCCTCCCCCCCCCAACCCCCTCACAACCTGGTTTTCCACGTTGCCTCCAACCCATACGTGACGAACACCCCACCAGGGACCCGTATTTCACGATATTGCTGGTGCGAGAGAGCATATCCCAGGCCCATGCACATATCGGGCCGTTTATAACGGGGTCGCGCCCAGTGTTTTACTACTTCGGCAATACGTGGCGATAGTTATTGTAGTCTGATTGATATTTGTAACGGGGTGTATTT